GCCAACGGGTAATTACAGATCATGATTTATGGGCAGCTGACCCGAAAGCCAAAAGCTGCTGTTGCAACTAAAACAACAACAACAACAACAACAGAAACAACAACAGAAACAAGCGATCGATCAGTTCAGCTCTGTCCGCCCATTTAGGCCCTTTGGGGCAACAATCCATGCCCCCGCTGCCATCTCCTGCCACCAATGCACCGTGTATCTGTACCGCGACTGCTGCTGCCGCAGATGCGTCTGGCGGTTTTTGTTTTGGCTTTAGCGCTCTTTATGCAAATAAAATAAAGGAAGGCTATCCCCAAGGAGAGTGTTTGACAAAGTCGAGTGAGTCTCCAACGCCGCCAACGCCACCGCAGAGATTGATGGGGCACAAAGGGAGCTGCAAAGCGGAGTACACTGCCAAAAAAGTGGTCAAGAATATGTCACAGAAATGCAGGAAAAGTTGTTGGGATAAGATGCGATTTTTAGTACATTTTCTTGTAAAATAGAAGAAGGAATTTACTGCATGGAAACGAATTGAAAATATATATCAATATGCTGTAAAAAGTGATGATGAAACTATTGCGATTGCAAACAATAAGTTGAGAAAGTTGAGTTTTTTCTTAGGAGGATTTTCCAGACTTATTTGAGAATTTAAGTTTTAGCTAAACTAATCTCGAATTCCATTGAAATTCTGAGCGTTTTAGCTTAGCTTGATGATAATGTTTTGGGCAATATTCTAATTGAATTGAAATGCAGCATTTCTTTTTGTTCAGTGTAGCAGTGGAGCATACTTCAAACCTATTTGCCGCTCGCTCGGGATCGTCGCACTAATTGTTTGGCTTGGCGGCGCGGCATCAACTTTATGGGCAAAATCCATATAATCCATCAAAGAAGATCTCAGACTTTGGCTGGCTGCTACGTACGTGTGGCGGAATTTCAATGTGAGATCTGTGCAAAACACACAGCTCCAGATGCAGATACAGATACAAATGCACGAGGCATGGAGTGAAGTGTTGTGTCCCCGAAGATTGTGTTGTCATGGCTGTGCATGTTTTTTGGAATCGAATTTGCTTCAAGGTGTTGCTCTTCCTATTGCTCATGGCTGCTGCCTGGCAATCTCAAGTGTCGGGCAATTAATGGAACTGCTGGGACTTGTCTAGTGCCAACTGGGGCACGCCCAGTGGCAATGTGGCATTGTTGGTGCAGCACGCTCTGACAGGATTAGGAGTGGCAGAGGGGCGGTAGGAGATTATCATAGCTCGAGCACTTAATTGGAGGACAATGCTGGTGGTCCACAGGCGCTAAGCTAAACAAATAAATAAATAAATTACATGCTCGGCATTAGTGGCGGAATTTTAGAGGAGGATGCAATCCTACAATTGAGAGTTCCAGTCTAAGCTAAAGTGGAGGACCAAGGAGATGCTGTGGCAGAGTGCTAAATGAACTTCAAATGAATATTCTTAATCTTCATGCAGTGAGTATTAAATATCCTTTCGGCCGCATGGGAAATCGTGAACTTTCCCTAGAGTTTCCCAATTGTCAGCGAGCGCTTATTAGTTTTATTTTCCACAGGTAATCCGTTTTGGCAATCCACCAGCCTCCTGGGTCCTACGGCAGGTGGAATCTCTTGACTGGCCTCTTAGCGCAGGCCAGAGCCATAAAGTCAGGGTCAGAACGCTTTAACGAGGCAGAGAAAATGTCCAGTGCGGGCCCTAGGAATTTCCCAAGCGTCATAAAAACGTTTTGAATGATCGCCGGACAAATGTGACAGTGTCGCGGATCATCATCAAGGGGCAGGAATGGCAGCGTCGGCGGCGCCTACCTAAGCCCAAGAGGTCTAGAGGCAAAGCCAGGGCTCAGAGTCCAGCAGCCAGTGCCCAAACAAATCAGAGCGGCTCAGAGACATCTCGCCGAGAGTTATCACATTTGGTATGTAACTACATTTATCACAACCTAATATGACAACTCGAATAACTTTTGCCTGGCAGCATCCGCAGAGCAGCTCAGTGCAGATATGCCATACTGAGATTGTGGCACTGGCACTGTGCCTCGTCCTCGTCCGCGTCTGAGCAGCAGCTTGTCACATTTGGCCCTCTGCTAATTGGAACATATTTCGTGGAGCGTTCCCTGGATGATGTGTGTCTCTGGTAGATGCGATTTATGCATCCTTCCAGCAAGCAGCAAGCCAACGAACCAACTAACCAAAAAATGAAGATATCAACTCAAAATATGCTGCCCATCGGATAGTTTAGAGATGAACAGAATCGATCGAATGTATTCATTGATTCCTCCTCACAGACTCGTTGCACGGCTGGGGGGGTTTGTGTAGTGTGTAGTGTGTGGTGTATGGTGTGTGCCTCCCATGCCACCGGAGGGGCTTGTGCATCAATAATTCATAACGCTAATTAATAACGCCCCCAATCGGTGGAGTGCGTTTGCGTGCGCCAAGATGAAAGCCGAAAATGCCGACCCAATACACACAATAACAGGATAATAAACCCCAGAGAGCAGACTCCACTCCACTCCGTTCCCTTTAGAGCAAAGCGCCCTGTGCCTTATTGAAATTCAAATAAATCGAGAACGAGCGGAACGTTCCTGTTTTGATTGCCTCGTTCTTTATAAGGCTTGGGCTGGGCTTACTTTGGGTTTTGTTGTGTGGGGCTATCGAGGGCTTTGGATCACGCCTTAGGTGTAAAAATAAATGTTTCAAGTAACAACTTCTTAAAGAGGTAAATTATGAGCTGAAGTCTGGACTCCACTCTCCACTCTCCACTCTGCACCGCTCACCCGCGCAAACTCCATCAATCTGAAAATGAGACAGAGCCCGGTCCCTCGGACATGAGCCCCGTCTTGGCCACATCCTTAGCCTATAATTTGCTTGAAATACTCACATTTTCGGTGCCCCTGATTGATGCGACGCGTTGGCGGCGGCGCGTTTTGTCTGCAACCGGCACAATGTTGCCACGCCAAGTGGCGCGCCAAGAAATCTATTAAACATGATCTTTAATTCATTTTTTGGGCACCCTTCAGCTCCGCCAGAAAATTGAAAAACGAAAGCAGCTGCCTCCGTCGTATGACAAAATACAGAGGGAATCGGGAATGCTCGGGCTGGTCTAGGCTGGCCTAGGCTCGGAAGGCATGCGATGCTGGGTGAAAAAGGTGAAAGTTCTTCCGGCGCTCTCCTTACTCTCGAATATATCATGGATTTGATATTTTGTATAATCCTTGCCTACTATTGTGGCCCCATTCTCAGCAGAAGGGCAGCGCGGCTGTGCAGGAACAATCGCATTGAGTTGTCAAGTGTCAGCGTTGACAGAGATCCAGATCCAGATCCTCACTCCTCGGTTGAGCTCTATTCAGCTCCTTGGAGCACCCGGGACTAGGACAATGCGCTCGAGGAGTCTCCATTGTTCTGGCTGCTCTTTAATGTGTCAAAATATAGTTTGAGCCGCATTCTCCTTTTTTGTAATGCAAAGTGATTTATTGTCTGGCCCATGGGTTTTGTTCTCAGCGAACTGACGTCTTGGTGCGTGGGAGCCAGAGCCAAGGATTTGGATTTTATACCCCGAGAAAGGCTTTCTTTTTGAAATGGAAAGTGGTGTGGCCTTCAATGCACTCTCCGTGGAAGAACTACATTATAAAGCCATCAATTTGTGGCACAAACAAAGCGAAACAAAGGGACAAGTCAGAGCAGAGCAATGCCAAAAGGAAGGGCTTACAGCCGGCCAGAGATTTTGGTTTTTATATTAAAACAAAATTTGAATTCGTAGAAAATGGAAAAAGTTCAGCGTTCAAACAGGACCATTTTCGAAATTGGAAAACCTACACCAACAATGTTCCATGGAAAATTAATATCTTTGCAGCCAAACAATTGATTTAAAAATAGGATAAACCTTTGTTTTATCCAAGACCTCCACAAGATAGTCTCAGTATTTATGAGGCATGAAAACAATGTGCCAAATGCACAACAATTAGCTTGTTTTACTTAACTTCTGAGTGTTCCTCGGGTCATTCTCTTTCGCTTAAGAAATCTCATGCTGATATCGGATAACATTTTCCGTAGTACTGGCCCTATGCAAATCTATATTGGCTCTGTTTGTCGTCTTCCCCGGAACTGCCGTTCTCGGCCTTGCTCTCTTTTCTGAATGATGACTGTGGCCCGCCCATTTCCGTTGCGCTTAGTTTCGGATTCGCCTCTCGATTTGAATTCAATTGAATTAGCATAGCCAAACTGTTTGCAGTAAACAGCGATAAGAAGTTGGCCGACGCTCCAGCGATAGCGTTTCTCCGTCTCTCTCTCTCTCTCCTAGCACGTGCCACACGTATCGCAGAGCAACTCCCGATCCTACCTGCGCTTTTCACCAGCGCAATTTGAATTTCTCCAGCCTAGGGCAGGCTTTTCCCTCGAAGGCTCTCTACCTGTTGGGTGGGTTGTGTCGGTTGATTAGGGGCCAAGTCAACCTGGGGAAAGGGTTGCCCTCGCTCCGCTCTCTCTCTCTCTCTCTCTCTCTATGATCCCGGGCAAAGACTAATCCCCCGAGCCGAGTCGAGTCGCTGAGCCCGTATTTGGGATTAGTATTAACGGTTTATGGTCGAAGACGTGGCATAAAAATTATGCACAGCAATCCGCATTAGTGGCCATAAACACGGGACCCGCAGCAACATCCTGCAGCCCATCACCTGCTACCAGCAGCAGCAGCAGCAGCACTGATTCCACCGACTCTCCGATTCGATTCGATCCACTCCAGCAGCATCATCTTGGTGGCAATTAATGTGCAAGTGCTACCCGCATGACTGCAGATTCGAGAACCTTCATTATAATGCTCCAAAGATCGGTTCTGGATCGATATTGTTCCCCCCCCCCCCCCCAAAAGCATTCCACAGTCTTTCGATTATGCTCGATTTCCGTCTTTATTACTTCGTTAGCAACAATTAACATTTACTTTTGGCTCTTGACCAACAAAAAGAAAATAAGAACATGCTTCATAATGTGTATGGTTTATATTTATATTTTGTTTAATATATAGGAGTTTTTTCATACTGGTTTCTCGTGGGTTTCTTAGGCTAACAAAAAAATAGATCATCTTAGACTATGTGCAAAAAAAAAAAATGGAGTGTGTGATAATTCTATAAAAAAAAATGAGTCTATTTACAATTTGAGGCACTTGGTTCAACTCAATCATTGACTAGATGAGAACGGGATGCAGGAAGGGGAAGCAGATTGAAGCGGATGCGAGGATCACTGCTCCTGCCACATGGAGATGTAGTCGAGGATCTCCTCGTCGTCGGGTGTGCAGTCCTCCTCGTCCAGCTGGAAGTGCTCGTATGGCTCGAACTTGAGCTGCAGCTGGGCGGCATGCGCCTCCGGCTCCAGTTCCATGTCCAGCTCCATGTGCGGTGCCGACAGCTGCTGCGGCGCCGCCTCATAGGTGCCCGAGTCGAAGGACATGCTCGAGTTGAAGGAGGAGGTGGGCGAGTGGCAGGCCGTCGTCTGCCCAGGAACGCTTCCACCACCACCACCAGCCACTGCACCCACGCCGGCCAGGTTGCTGTTCAGCGAGATGGCAGTCAATGGCTGCTGATGGGGAAACTGCTGCCGCTGTAGCTGCTGCTGTTGCTGCAGCGGAGTTGGAGTTGGAGTCGTCGTCGTTGTAGCTGCTGCTGCTGCTGCTGCTGCGGCTGTTGCAAGGGAGCTGCTGTAGTAGAGGTGGTGGCTGCCATGGCTGCTGCTGCCGGAGCTGCTGGAGCTGTTGCTGCAGGTCTCCTCGTCCAGGCAGAGCTGCAGCTGGCTGACGACGGCACTGGCGGCGGCACTGGAGCTGGCGGGCGCACCGCCGTTGAGGTCGTCGACGAGGTCCTGCAGCCGGCGGATGTATTCTACGGCAATGCGCAGAGTGTCCACTTTGGAGATCTTCTTGTGCGGCCCCCGGCCACCTCCTTTGGTCAGGTCAGCGATGATCGACTGGGGAATGTGCTGGCGCAGACGGGCGAAGCTGTTGTTCACCTGCTTCACGCGGTTGCGCTCTCGGGCGTTGCGCCGCTGCACAGACTGCGACTGGTCCACGTTGTACGGTGCGCCAGCCCCCATCATCGACGAGGAGGAGGAGGACGACGATGAGGAGGATGAGGACGAGGCCGAAGATCGCTCCAGAGCCATGCCACGCGGCGTGTACTTGCGCGTCTTGATGGGCATGGAGCTGCCGCCGCTGGGCAGCAGCTCCTGGCCGGGATTGGGTGCCGGCATTATGTGCTGGTAGCGGAACACCTTGGCGGCGCCGCTGATCGTCGTGGGAAACATCTCGGGCACTGCCACCGGAATATGCTGGGACTGCTGCATCTTGCTGCTGGAGTACACCACGCTTGACATCTCTGTCCGCTCGGTGCCTTCGGTTTTTGTGTTTCTTTACTCTTTTGCACACACACGCACGTGAGAAGCGAAATGCTGGATCGCTGAGCAACAATTAAAAAAATAAATACTTCTGCACTGTGCACTGGTTCTGGGTTTGTCTTCGGTTCTTCTGTGTCTGTTTTCCTGCAGTGGAACTTGATCGTTTGACATGAGTGACAAGAATGAGTCCCTTCGTCCTAAACCCTCACTTTATGTACCCTTCCACACGGAAGCGGGCTCAAGAGCGAGCCAGCGAACGCGTGCTCTTGCCACTCTCTCTCTCTCTTCGGAGCGCTTACCTGTCGGCAGGTAGAGCAGCGATCCGCGCAGCGCTGCGGCAGAACACTTTCCTAGGCATATGAGATTGGGCCTGCCTTTTGCCGATGTGCTGTCGGGTGGCTTCGGCTGTGCTCGGGCTTGGCCAGTGCGTAAGCTACAGGTAGTGAGCGCACGCTCTCTCTCTCTCTCTCTCTGTCTGTCTCTTCGCACAATCAGCGATAAGGCGACTCTCTCAATCTTACACAAACTGTTCCCACTCGGGCACTCTGCTTGGTTTGAGATTTCACTCAGGGCTGCCTGCTTCCACTCATTCGTGCCTGGCGCTCTCACACTCCATGTTCCCTCCCACTCAGGGCTGCAGGGCGGCAGGGCGGCAGTTTCACTCCACTGCAAAACCACTCGACTGCTGCCAGCCGTGCTGCTAGCCATTGAGTGCTGTCCCCCAGGAGCATTTTGGCATGCCAGCAATTTGATTTCCGTGTTAATTAACTTAGCAAAAGTCGCGATCCGCCAGCACACATTTCATGTGCAGCTCACGCACGCCCCTATTCATTAGCGCCGTCAGTTCCAGCAACGACTCTGCCACAGAGCTCCACTCACCAAAGCAGAACGATGCGGCATGCGCGTGTCGCCTATAGGATGCTGCCTTATTAGCTATGCAGAGTCAGGCCTCGGAAGGTGTTCGAACAATTTCACATATTCCTCTAATTAAATGATCAAAAGGATCACAAGTTCTTCACTCTGAACACATCCCGACGGACCACGGCAATTGTCTCCAGCTTCCAACATCATTATGTGCGTGGATCGTGATGATGGTGATGCCAAAAACTGCCACTTCCGTTTGGTCATTTTGGCCAAACGTCATCGTGCCAGCTTCCTCCTCTTCCACTCTTACTTTCCCGCTCGCTCTCTCTCTCTCTCTCTCTCTCTCTTTCTCGCTGTCTGTCTCCCTGTCTCGTGCGATCATCAATCGATCGAAGCAATCAGCGGATCCGCAGAGATCCCCAGAGACCAGGTGTAAGTCGGGATTCGATTCCATATTGTTTCCACTCTTCAACTCGTTCCCATTGTTGGCGGCATAGAGTTTTCCCTCATCATCATCGGCGGCTGTGGCTACGCCAGCAGCAGCAGCAGCTTCATTTCCATTTGCAAAAATCCAAAAACCGAAACCAAAAACCGAAACCATAAACCGAAACCTTTTCAACCATGACCAGGCGACGGCGCTTCTCTGTGTACTTTATGTGGCTGCATCCTTTGACAATTTCCATTACTATTTTTGCATGCTGCATTTTGTTTAGAATTTCATGCAGTTTTTCCTTCCATTTCTTTCTTTTTTTTTTTTTTGCATAGTAATGCTGGGGAATCGCCGGCAGGATAGCAGGATAGCAGGCTGGATGACTGGATGGCAGGATCTCCAGTCAACGGCTTTGGGTTCCATTATTTTGGCATCATTAACACGTGCATTGTTCGAGTGTCGCATATTTTGTGGCATTCGCATCGTTCCGCTCCCTTTCTATTCAAATTTTTGGCACAGCCAAAACGCATTCTTCTTCTGATGCCGGGGAGGGGGGCCGAGTGCTGCAGGAAAATGCATTGGAAATGCTGGTGAAATGTCCAGAATAGGTTGAAGTCCTGCGGCCTTTGTGCCACTGGATGATCTATTGTGCGCAAGGATACGAATTTGAAGTGGAATGCATTTGCGCAATGATTGATAGTCGGATATCGCAGCTACCGCAGGCGATCTGATACGAGTCTCTGCCTCTGCTTCAGGCGGTACTTCTGATCAGCCAGACCGATAGGTTCGTCTCGAGTATCCTCTTTCTGTGATCCATTGAACAGTCGAAAAGTCAATGCACACTCCTCGCCAAGCTCTCACATGCAAATCCATGTGAGAGAGAGCCTCGTGCCGTTATTGAGCTGCCTCAAAATGCTGATCATTATCCGCGACCGTATCGCCTCCAGTCCTATTCCTATTCCTATCCCTAGCCCAAAACCTACCTGCCTACTGGACTCACATAAGCATGTGCAATGTAATTCTTTGCCTGCCCTCCTGGCAAAGCAAAGATATTTGAAGATATTAAAGATCTGTGGGAGATGAAGACGAGAGTTCAATGAAGATCGAACCTGTTCAGGCGAAGATAGCCTTGGAGCTTATCCCAAGGAGGCGGTGCTGACAATATCCTTCTATCAACACTGATTCTGCTATGATTCCTGGTATCTGAATATTCAAATAATCAAAAGGAAAATCGCAACTCGATTAAGAAGATCCCTCTGATGCTCAGTCGTTCAAAATGATCCCTTTGCTTTCGAGAGCTAAAGATCGCTGTGATCGAAGCCGGAACCAAGCCAAGTCCTGCCATTGTAGGCTGTAACCTGCAACTTCTTCCATTCAATTTTGTTGCCTCGACAACCAGTAAACAACTTCCTCCCTCCGGCAGCTCTCGAGCTCTACCCCCTCGCCCATTTGTTTATATCCTTTCGCGGGGACTGCAACGCTTGGAAGATTTAAATGCATAATTACTTTGATATGAAGCATAGTTCCGGGCTCCGCGAAACGGGAAACGGGAAAGTGGCAACAGGAGCTGGTAGACGAGGAGACTGGGACGGGGCAGGGGCAGGGGCTGGGGCAGGGCGCGTGCGTTAATTGCGTGCAAGCAGGACAGGGCGACAGGCCATATCCTGGCCAAGGGGCAGTCCAAGTCCAAGCTCAGGCTCAGGAGCGGCACACAACGTTTCTGAGGGAACGTGCGCCTTCGTTTTTCCTCGAAACTGGAAATGCAAACAAGAAATGAAGGCTATCCGCGGGCTGTTGACCGAATCATTTGATACTCTCTAAACAATTGCAAATGGAAACTAAAACTGCCAATCTCCACAACTCAATGGAGTTTTGTGGGTTAAATTGAAGCTATCACCATGATAGCTCTTGGATTTGGAACATTTTGGGACCATGGGGATCATTGATCAGGAATAAAAGTTGCTCTATATCATTGCATAGTGGAATACCCACAGCAAGGGCATCAAAACTGAGTGTTGAATGTTCATTGAAACGAGTTCCCGTTGCCTGGGCAGCAGCCAGGACCTGCAGGAGCTACAGAGAGAGAGACAGTGAGAGGGTGTGAGAGCTCCTTCCCTCCACGTGCCGCGGGTTGTCCGGGGCAACGAAGCGTAGTTTAGTTGTTGCTTCCTACTTCCCTCGCTCATTTTCGTAGTTAATATTTTAATTAAATGCAGGAGCAGGCGCAGGCGCAGGAGCAGGAGTATGTCCAGGACTCGCTTGCCTGCTCTCCGCGACTCTCCAACGGTGCAGTTGCAATGGATTGGGCCATGGCGACGCGTGGCAGGTGTATTTACGCGACCGAATCGGGATCGAGAGTGGTGGAGTGGTGGAGAGGGACCTGAGCACACTGCCACACCGGCACGGGCTCGGGCTTAGACAGCGTCTACCTTTCTCTGCAGCCCTGCTGCAGCTGAAAAATGAAACACAAACAGAAACAGAAACAGAAACACAGACAGCGCCTGGAACACACTAAAGCAGCAGCAATCATTTGCTAGGGGTTGCTGTCAGGCAGGGCTCGAGATGCATTTTAGTATCTACTCCAGCAAATAGGGGAGCCCAATAAGTCGGAAAACAGTCAGAGACGGCAGCCCAAGATGCCCGCTGCGCGATGCCTGATACCGAGACGGCGCATTGAACTTTGCACAGACCAAAAGTTCAGATCATCGTCAGGACAAATCAAACGAGGGGAGGCATTTCTGATTCTTTCGGGTTTGGCTCTTCTTTGTGGGGTATTTCCTAACCGGTGGGATGAATGCACTTTGTCGTAGCGTTTGTTGGTGCTTTAATTACCATCGAACCCACTGTAAGCTGCGCCATTTCTCTAGACTCCATTCTTAACGTTTTGCAGCAAATTCAGCATTCATTGCAGCTTTACACATTGCGAAAAGTCTGCTTACAAATCATATTCTTCGAATTATATATATTAAGGGTATATCAAGTTCGTTGCTGAATCTCTGTGCGTGTTTGGTGGAGGAGTTCGGGCTCCAGGCGCTGGCGGCGACGGCGTACGAGTAGTCGCGGGACCGCTGATGACTATCATTACCCGCAGAGGAGTGTGTTTTGTACCAATACATTCGTTTCGATTCTGTATTTCATTTCTCGTCGCTCTGCGGTCGAACCTGATGATCATGATGATGATGATGACGATGATGGGCTCAGAAGAGACTGCCAAACGGCAGTAGCACGCACCATTAGATGCGGTCAACATGAAAACATCTGCTCTTCTGTGTATTTCTTTGGGGTCAACACACACACAAACACACACACAAGTCAGCGAGCGATAGAGATGGTGAAAGAAAAGATGACGAAGAGAGGACGAGGAAGAGAGAGTGTGGCGTGCGCCATTTTCGAAATGAAAAGTGTTTTGGAGCGTGGAATTGAAAACAAGAAAACAGAGCTCAGAGAGCTCTAGGGATTGGGGAAGGGAGCGTTACGTGAGCGTAAAAGTGCCCCAAACTCTGACTATGAATATTCAATTAATACTTCAGAACATATCCATTCGCTAGTCATGAAGTAGATGTAAATTCCTTCACCCTGCCTATGCCATTCTGCACCGCACCTTCACTGCGATCCGATGCGATCCAATTCGATCGGATGCAAATGAAGCCATTTGGCTGGGCATGTTTATGGCGTACACTGTTGGGCCTCATTAAATTTTAATCAATTTTTCGTGCTTCGATTCGCTGTGGATGCGGCACAACCCCTCCCCTAGGATGACCGTAAATCGCAGTTTAGTTCGGGATTAGTGCATATAACGTTTAATTTTAAAAACGCATAAAATTTTGTAACAATGTCTGCTGCCGTATGCTAGTATGTAGATGATCTCCTCC